CAGCGGGACCCGCGCTCGCGGGGCGCTGGATGAGGCCGACGACGGCGGGGTCGAAGCCCAGGGAGTTTGCGACCCCCAGGTCGGAGGACGGCCGCTTGCCCCTGTCCTGCCCGATGACGCCGACGTTGCGCGCCGGCTCAAACCCGGCGCCCGGCGCGCCGCCGCCCGCGAGGCCGTACGCGCCGGGCGGCGAGCCGCCAGCGAGCGCGAGCTGCCGCTGAGCAGCGGCAGCGGCGGCCAGCTGCTGCGGGAGCAGGCCCGCGGCCGCGGCGTCGCCGGGCTTGGCGCCGGCCTGGGCCATCATCCTGGACAGGTACAGGTTGTTGGCCGCAGCGTGCGCCGCCGCCGCCTGCTGCTGCTGCTGCTGCTGTTGCTGCTGCTGCTGCTGCTGCACAGCCGCGGCCGCCGCGACCTGGGAATTGCGCAGGGCCGCCATGAGGGCCGCTTGATTGAGGCCGCCCTGCTGCCCAGCGGCGGCGAGCGCCGCGCTCTGCTGCTGCAGCGCCAGGAGCTTCGCCTGGTGCTCGCGCTGCTGCTGCTCCCGCTGCTGCTGCATCGCCACGGCCGCGGCGGCGGCCTGGCTCTGGCGCAGCTGCTGCATCGCGGCCGCCTGGGCAAGCTCGCGCTCGCGCGCGGCCGCCTGTTGGCGCGCCAGGTTTTGCAGCAGCGCCGCATTGGCCTGCTGCTGCTGCAGGCCCTGCAGCTGCTGCGCCGTGGCGCCACCGAACGCCTGCTGCAGCGCCTGGCTGGTGGGGAGGCCCTTCAGCAGCTGCTGCTGCAGCGCCTGCTGCTGGAGCTGCTGCGCAGTCGCGCCGCCCTGCAGCCCTGGCATCAGCCCGGCGGCCAGCAGCTGTGCCTGCCGCTGCTGCGCCGCATTGACCGCCAGCGTGGGGTTCGTGGCGGCCGCTGCCGCCGCTATGTTGTTCTGGAGCAGCTGCCCGTTGGGGGGCAGCAGGCCCGCGACCGCAGCGGCACCACCGATCGAGCTGGCTTGCGAGTTGCGGTTGTTGAGCAGAAACATCTGCTGCGCAGACACGCCGCCGCCAAGCCCCGCCAGGCCCGCCGCGCCAAGCTGCTGTTGCTGCTGCTGGTGCTGCAGCTGCTGTTGCTGCTGCACCTGCTGCAGCTGCGCCTGCTGCTGTAGCTGCTGCTGTTGCTGCAGGAGGCGCTGTTGCTGCTGCAGCTGCTGCAGCTGTTGCTGCTGCTGGAGCTGCTGCTGCAGCTGCTGCTGCCGTGCATGCTGTTGCGACTGCAGCTGCTGCTGCAGCTGCTGCTGCTGGAGCTGCTGCTGGAGCTGCTGCTGCAGGCGCTGCTGCTGCAGCTGTTGCAGTTGCAGGTTGCTCAGGCCACCAGCGCCATATCCCGCAGCGCCCAGCTGCTGCTGCAGAGTGGGCTGCTGCGCCTGCAACCCTAGCTGCTGCTGCTGCTGCTGCTGCTGCTGTTGCTGCTGCATGCCGTTTGACAGGCCCTGCAGGCCGCCGCTGAGGCCACTAGGCATCAGACCCGCAAGGCCCCCAAGACCGGCGCCCTGTAGCGACGGCACGCGAGGCATACCGGCATCCCCGGCTTTCGGCAGCCCCAGGGGGTTCAGGTGGTCCATTGGGAGCGACCCCTGCGCGGTCAGTCCATTGCCAAGGCCGCCTTGCTGCGGCAGCGGCGGCGAGAGCTGTGGTTGCTGAGGCGGCAGCTGCTGGGCCTGCTGCTGCAGCGCGGGGTTGAGGCTTTGGCCGCCCGACAGGAAGTTGGGGTTCATGCCAGGCCGCACACAGCGCCAACCGTCGGCCGCTCTACGCCGCCTCCTGCTCGCGATGCTTCGCTTGGCAGTGTCACTGCCAAAGCTGCACAACTGAAGGGCACCCCCTCAGAAAGCACAGTGTACCAGCGGTGATGCAGGAGCTTGTGCTGAGGGCTGTCTGGACTCCCGTCGGCACTGTTCAAGTGGCGATGCGCGCACGTCACGGCGCGCCTCGCGTGCCTCTGCACGCAAACACACCACTTGCGAGCCTACGTGCGATGGATGGGGCATACGTGGGCGCCCCGCTGCAGTCCATGCTTGGCACGGGTGATGGAACCGAAAGCTAGACGAGGGCGCCTGGAATGAGCCTGGCCATGTGCACGCTGCCCAAGCACTTATGGCGGCTGACAAGACTACATGGCATACACGAGCTCACCCGCAACCGGATGGGCTCTGAAAAGACTGTGGGCTTGCCGGGCTTCGCGTGAAGAGGGCACCCGACGCGCCTTGATCTGCAACCACGGCGCGGGGGTGTCGTGATGAACGACACTATGTAAGCGATTCTGTCAGAGGCGGCGGGACGATGTGTGCGGTGAGGTACGGCTTAGCAAGGGCGGGCGACCCTCGCTCAAGGTGTGCTTGCCTCTTGCGCGGGGAGCGAGGCTTGTTGACGCGCTACAGTATATGATTGACGAGGCCACCTCATTCACATTTGGTTGTGGGAGGGGTGTCCAGTCGCTCTGCAACAAAGCGAAGCAAAGTCAGGGGAAAGGTGTGGCAGCTGCGTTGATGGCTCAGGTGGACAGTTCGCCCCAACACAAAGCCACAGAGACCTACTGATCCCTCAGTCACCCCGTTGTCTTGCTTTGAAGTTCTCTGTGTGTTGCTGAAGTCGCCGCCAGATCACCTGGGCACGAGATCCGGGACACTTGACAACGCTAGGGCGCTTGGTCGGACAATCAGTTGATCATTGCACACAGTTTGAGCAGTGTGGTGAGGGGGCAGGCTTCAGCAGCAGCCGCGTCGGGCGAGGCCCATTGTGGGCCTCCGAGCAGTGCGCAGGTGAGCACCAGGCGAACACGATCGTAGTAGGGCTTCAGAATAGGGGCGCTCGTGGCTCGTCCCATGCGCCTGGGCCTCGGGGATTAGAGGTCGGCGCTGCCATCTGCGCCCGCTGCCGCTCGCGCTGTCAAACGATCACATCAGGCTGCGCGCGGGCACCTGTGCCCGGTGGACATGGTATCCTGCTCGTTCTCAAACGAGGATTCTCCGCAGCGACTTAAAATGAGCCCTAGGCTGCAAGAGCTGCAGCCAGTGTGCCCACCCGGCTGCCGCACACGCCCGAGTGTGCACCGCTGTATCCGCGCGCAGGATGTCGCTACAACGCACGTCCAAGCTGCTGAGCTATGTCAATTATAGGATGCGGGTCACCGTCGTCGACGGGCGCCAGATTGTTGGACGGTGCGCGGCGCTGGGCGGCCGGCAAATGATGGCCCCAAGCCCCTGTGCGCACAGTGCACGTCGGCTGCGTTGCCGGGTCGCGCTTATGCGCGCGCGCGCACACACACACACACACACACACACACACACACACCCCGCTCGTGCCGCAGGTTCATGGCTTACGACCGCCACATGAACCTGGTGCTGGGGGACGCGGAGGAGTTCAGGAAGCTGCCGCCCAAGAAGGGCAAGAGCGAAGAGGAGGTGAGGCCGGCCGCGCCTGGCGCAGGGAGGGTCCACGTGGGGTCTGCCGCGTCGAGCCCTTGCTGAGCCTGGGGTGCATTCCCGGGGGCACCCACGCTTTCAGGGGACCAAAGACGCCGGGCTGGGCGGGGCTGCCCGTGCGTCACTGCTCCCCACCTGAACCGCCGCGCCCGCACGGCCCTCCCCGGCCTCTTCCCCCACGCAGCGCGAGGAGCGGCGCGTGCTCGGCCTGGTGCTGCTGCGCGGCGAGGAGGTGATCTCGCTGACCATCGAGGGCCCGCCCCCCCAGGAGGACCTGCGCGGCAGCAAGTCGCAGGTCGCGCCTCCGGGGAGCGGCGCCGGGCGCGCGGCGGGGCGCGGCGTGCCCGTCGCGGCACCGGGGCAGGCGCCGGCGGTGAGTAGCAACGGCTCCTCCTTTTTCTGGGCGTGTGCATGCACCTGCCATGGTCGTGGGGCCTGTCCGCTGCCTGTTGCCCTGATGCTTGTGGCGCCCACCCAGGCAGTGCAGCAATCGCCAGACATTTCCCACCTGGTGGCCGCAGCACACCACATGCCATCGTGCCTTGCCCTGCCCAACGACCCACCACTCCACCGTGCCCCGCCCCCCCCCCCCCTTGACGCAGGGCCTGGCGGGCCCCGCGCGCGGCGTGGGCGGCCCGGCCCCTGGCATGATGATGCCCCGCCCCCAGATGCAGGCGCCGCCCATGATGCGGCCGCCGGGGATGCCCCCGCCGGGCATGCCGCCGCCGGGGATGGGCATGCCGCCGCCGGGGATGCGGCCGCCAGGAGGTGAGGCGCGGGGTGCTGTTGCGCGTGGGCAGCCCGTTATCAGCGCGGCCGCGCACGTGAACCCCGCCGGCCCAATACGTGCCGGACGGGACTTGAATCGCGGCCAGACCGACCGGTGCGCTCTCCGGGGACCGGCTAGACCGCCCCAAGAAGGGGCGGGCGTGCGCCGGTCTTCGAATAGCAGCACCAACATCCGCCTCACGCGCCCCCTAAACACTCGGGGTGAACAGAATGCCCCTGCACAAAACAGCCACCCCACTCTCAACCCCCAGACTCTTCACC